GGCCAACTTGGACCTTTATGGACTTGGCTCTTCGCCATGGATATTTTAGAGAAATCCCTTTAAGCGCTTGTTGCTAAGTTTGTTGAATGTCCATAAATAGTCCAAGTTGAGGGAGAAAAGCTGGGCTAATGTCTTCGAAGCTAATGATTCAACTGTGCAGGTTTATCTCTTTCAGTGCATTTACAGTGATAATGTCTTCGGCAGATGTACAGGCAGCCTGTGACTTTCCAGGTCTCCTTTCTTTTGACTCCAGAGTCATTCCTTCTAAAGTACAGTATGATGTTTTCTTGATCTTCCTCCTGAAAAAAATTTTAAGAAAAATACTCCTAGATATTTTGTCTGCTTTTTAGGGATTAGTTTTTGAGGAGGTTTGCAGCTGTTCAGCACATTCCTAAGGGATGCAGACCCTTTCCTTTAAAGGCCCAAGTATTATACAACCTAAGGCTCTGGGGGTGGGGAAAGTAAAGAGACTGTGCAAACAAATGATAGATGGAAAAGATATAAAGACAAATTTCAATCTCCTAACCAAACGAAGTTCCCTTGGCTCCAGCGATCCCAAATAAAATGAGGCTGCAAAGCTTCTGGAGCAGGAAACCACTCTAGCAGAGCCTTAATATGCTCCCTATGAAATCACGTCTCATTGCCTTGCTTATTTTCCAGCCTGAAGTGTGTTTCATCTTTGTTCGTGTTGGCTGGGAAAATTGTCTGTATATTTGTGATCCCCTCCTCCCACTTTCTACCTTACTTGCCCTACCACCACCCAAAAATAAATAAATGAATTAATTAAAACATCTCAGTTGAAAGGAAGAATATGTCTGAGAAAGCTTACAGACTCAAAGGACCAGAAATATTGTGTGAAAAGCTGCATTAATAGTAGGAGAGGCTGAGAATTCCTAGAAGAAACAGACAACAGCATCTAGTGCTGGTTTTTTAAGCATAGACTCCTTTCTTAAAATAAAAGTCTTGCATAGAGCCTGAATATATGAAAAAGATCAAAGCAGTATTTTTATTGGTATAAATCTACTTTTAAAGTACAAATTTATAGAGTACTTATTATACCATCAGTCAGTGAGAACAATGAGGCTGTTTTCATGAACTAAAAATATTGAGATCAGGATTATGAATCAGTTACGGTTTTATATTCATTTCAGCATCTGGTTTTGGTTTAGGTAGCCCAATATCAAGAAAATTCTGATTAGCATAGATGAGTTATTGTAATCTTGAGCTTTAAACTGATTTAGACGGAAAAAAGAAGATATTTTTGTTTTAAAGTTGAGTCATTATCATCACCTAGCAGCTATTCCCCTTCATAAATATTAATTGGATAAGCCCCAACATGTATAATAGGCATTGCAACAACTGACAATGAGATGGTATGATATTAAGCATGTTGATTTTCACTACCCAACCACAGTCTAACATGAACCCAGCCTAGGCCCTTGAGCCTTCTATGGCATGTGATTAAACCTTGCTGCTGTGTGTCAAGTTATAGGCTCACCTGTACAGCTTTATTGGAGGAGGTGCACATAGGCTTGAATGAAAAAATAAGCCTATGCAAAGCTACATGTATTCTAATCAATAGCATATTGTTCAGAAGTTCCAAGGCATACAGTGATTCTTTCTTCCAGGGTTTGCATAAAACAATGCTAGCAGCCTGCGAGACATTGCGGTGGTATCTAATGCAGGGAAACTGGGTCCTAGGTCTCTTGCTCATGTCAATAAGGGTTGCTCATATGAATGGATGTGTCACCATTTTTTAAATTGAAATGTGATTTTCTGCTAATTCCAGAGTGTCTCAGAACATAGTTTAAAAGCTCCTGCTCACTGAAACCAATACTAATACTGTAACTATTGCACAAAATGCTGTAAGAATAGAAATAAATACATGTGGTAAAAGTACTTGTAGCACCTTGCAAGTTCTATTTTCTTTTTTTTTCCTTTTGTTTTGAGACGAAGTCTTGCTCTCACCCAGGCTGGAGTGCAGTGGCATGATCTCAGCTCACTGCAACCTCCGCTTCTGGGGTTCAAGTGATTCTCCTGCCTCAGCCTCCCAAGTAGCTGGGATTACAGGTGTGCACCATCCTCACCCAGGTAATTTCGTATTTTTAGTAGAGATGGGGTTTTGCCATGTTGGCCGGGCTGGTCTCGAACTCCTGACCTCAAGTGATCCACCGCCTTGGTCTCCCAAAGTGGTGGGATTACAGGCGTGCGCCACACCTTACAAGGTCTTAATAAAACTTATTAGCATTAAGTGATAAGGCATTTCATTTTAAAAGATTTCTACTGCCAGCTATCCTCTTTATTGACCCACTTTTGTTCACTCATCCTTTCTTTTGAGGACACCCTGGGGATATGTGCTCTGCATCCTTTCCCATGGTGTTAGGTTGGTTTTGCCCCCTCTGCTTCCTCTTTTGATCTGTAGTCTACCTTTCTGAGCTAGCTGGCCCTTTGTCTGTACCGCCATTAAAGTTCTATTTTACTATAGGTCTTTCTTTGTCTCCCTTACTATATTGCAGCATTCGTACTTTTATAACCACTAAAGCCCCTAACACCATGCCTTGTTCATTTAAGATACAAATGTTTGTACATTTGTGGAATTGAATTGTGGCATCATTTGTGTGTATGTAAAGTGCTATAGGGAAAGAACCTGTATAGACCCCCCCATTCATGTTCTCCTTTAAGAAACAGATTTAAACCAATTGTCAATGTAAAGTCTCATGAGATCTGCTCCTTTAAAAAGCATGCTTACTGAGGACATGGGTATCTTGCTGAGACACACCACTTGATTAAAATGTAGATTAGATTATTTAGAATTTTGTAACTGAAATCTAACTGGAATCATTTTGAAAGTTTTCTTGCAGTGGAAACATCAGATGCCATGGAATGCATGTGTTCAAACATCTTACCATTTTGAATTTAGGATTGTTTCCTGTTCACTTTTTTTTTCCCCAGATACTAAACATTTTGAAAGGAGTAAATTAATTATATGTCTCTCTTCCTCTCAGCTAGTATATTTTTGATTTCCATAGAAATCTTTCAGTTTCTCTCAAAAGGTAAGTGTTGTCACAGTGATTGGCTGTCTTAAGAGTTAGTGATTTTGGCTACAGAAGAGTGATGCCTGGGGCAGGGGGTGGGGACCTGGATACAGGTTTAGAATATTTTCAATTTGGACTCTAATATTAATTGGTTTGAAGTAACTTCTTGGTTTGGGTTAGACAGATATTTGATTTGTCTGATGTTTTCTGAAGTCCAAGTAGGTGTGGCATGATAATTTGTTAATAGTTTTTACTACAGAATTGGAAAAGCCTAAGTTGAACTTCACCCTTTACAAATCACAAAGTGCCTCGCCTTTAGTGCTGAATGGAGGCAGTACTGACTCAAGAACTAAGCTACTCTCAGCTCACTTTCTTTGTAGTAGCAGTTTGACTGGAGGGAGGAAGAGAGGAAAGAGGGAAAGAAACAGATCGTTATTATTTGCAGTGAATGAGAATACTTGCTTTGCAGTTATAGGCTTGGTTTGAATTCTGGAATTGCCACTTTTTAGCTATATGACCTTGGGCAAAGTGTTTAAAAATTTTTAGTCCACTTTTCCTCATCTGCCAAATGTGGTTAATAACACCCACCTCATCAGGTAGTTGTGGGGTTTAAGTCAAACAACATGTATAAAGGGCCCAGATACATGTACAGTATCCCTTGATAAATAGTACTGCAAATTATTCCTACTTTTGTTTTTCTCCTTAAAGAAATCCAACTTCCAAATGTAGAACTTTCTGTTGCTTAAGTTAATGCTTAACTTAAGCAACTTTCTGTTGCTTAAGTTGCTTAAGTTAGTCAATAATTCTTTTGGATCACAATGTTTTCATTAGAAATGAGCATCTAGGGCCAGGCGTGGTGGCTCACACCTGTAATCCCAGCACTTTGGGAGGCCAAGGTGGGTGGATCACTTGAGGTTGGGAGTTCAAGATCAGCCTGGCCAATATGGTGAAAACCCATCTCTACTGAAAATACAAAAATGTGCTGGGCATGGTGGCAGGCGCCTATAATCCCAGCTACTAGGGAGGCTGAGGCAGGAGAATCTCTTGAACCCGGGAGACAGAGGTTACAGTGAACCAAGATTGTGCCACTGTACTCCAGCCTGGGCGACAGAGTGAGACTTTGTCTCAAAAAACAAAAAAGGAGTACCTTGGTTTAGCACTTTACTGCTCCACTCAAGCTGTAGATATTTTAGGAACACATATGTTCAGGTATGGTTTGTGTTCTTGATTGTATGGGACATGAGATTATGGCTCAATAAATGAAATCAAAACTTCCTTAGATATGTTCTGTGGAACTCCAGAGTTTTCAGTAATGTTTTAATGGCATACGTCTCCAAAGTTGCCTTTATTAAATCCTACAATGGATAAATTTGTGGGCATTTTGTAGTGCTGTAGTGATTTTTGTCTCTAGACAAAATCTCTAACTTTGGTTTCTACCCTAGAGATAAACCAAATGACTTAGTGGCTAAAGTGATGGACTTCAGAATCACCTTAGACCTGGTCTAGCCAGACAATGCAAAACTGTTGTTCTAGTCCCTGGCACCCTCTTACTTGTTGTGTTAGTCTTACTCGCTGTAGACAAGTGACAACCTCTGTGAGCTTCAGTTTTCTAATCAGTAGAAGGGGGATAATGGTAGTTCTTTTCTTACAATGAAATGATAGAGCTTAGATGAGATAATACGTATAACGTATTCACCAAGTTCTTAGAACATTGTAGGTGCCTGATAATCCTGTTTCTCCTTCTACATCCCCTCTTCCCCCTCTCTCCTTCTTGTCCTTATTTTCTCCTTTTTTCTCCACTGAGTTTTTAGAAAAGGAGAAAACTAGAGAGGTGAGCTTCAGGAAAAATATCTTTATTTCTGGATTGGCTTTGATTGCTGTGATTTTAGGACACGGACTATAGTTGTAGATGTTGCCCTGGCTGCGTATCAACAATGACTTCTTTTCCTTGATGTTTCTCCACAGGAAGGATCAGAATGTTCTCTCTCCAGTCAACTGCTGGAATCTCCTCTTAAACCAGGTGAAACGGGAAAGCAGGGACCACACCACCCTGAGTGACATCTACCTGAATAACATCATTCCTCGATTTGTGCAAGTCAGCGAGGACTCAGGAAGACTCTTTAAAAAGGTACAGAGATATTTCTAGTTACAGAGGTTCTTGGGTGGAGCAATGACATTCTTGAAATTCTATTAGGTATTATGTTGATTACCTGGGTGACAAAATTATCTGTACACCAAACCCCTGTGACATGCAATTTACCCATGTAACAAACTTGCACATATACCCCTTGAACCTAAAATAAAAGTTAGAAAGGAAAAATAAAAGAAATAATATCTTATTGGCCCACTTCATAGGCTTTCCACTAGTCATTCTCTACCACATACTTGTGGAGAAAAAAATATTTGAATTGGCATTCCTTTCTTCCTTTCTGAGCTGAATTAATAGTAGCCTTGGGAAAGGAACCATTTGCAAGGTACAAACCCAGGACTGGTACCATAATTCATAAGCTGCATCTATTAACAAAAACTGTGTTTTGGGAAGTTTCCTTAAAGTGATTTGTGAAGCTTTTGAGCTTAAGTGGCCAACAGTGTCATTTTATGTTTTCCTATTCTAGTTCATTTAGCAAACTCATATACGTTTATGTTTTTAGTTTAGTTTTCTTCCCAGGGTCTCATCTTGGCCAAGGTAAGCTCAAAAGTGTGGTTATTCTTATCGTGATATGTCTTTGTCTTTGGGTCTCTGAATGCTTTCGGAACTCAATTGTTATCATACTTCCTTGGGTATAGGTTGAACAATTTGACTAAGGAAAACTCAAAATAATCGTGATAATCTTAAGGAGCCAATTACCTGTCAATGATGGACCTAGCCTCTTGAAAACCCAGGAAGCTCTTTTCTAAGCTGTCTCAGCTTGAGCTCAAAGTGGAATCATTTATTCATGAGGTTTGGTTACAAACAGCAGTGAAGACCCCAACCATTGTATATGATATGCCATGTCTACCATTCAAGCGTTGACATCCCCGGAAGACTTTTCAGAAGGCAAATAATCTTCCTATAAATTATAGGTAGAAAAAGGTGATAGAGGGCTATTTAGAATTCATCAGTTTCCAGGTGACAAAATCCATTATTAAAATTTGAAAGTGTGAGAGAAAAGACTGTAAACAGGATTGTAGTCAATACAGTCAAAGCTCTTGATCAGCTTTCCAATTCTCAGTTAGGAAGTTTTCCAGATTTCACTAGATCTGGAATTAATACCCCATTTTTTTTCTGTAATTACCAGCCTGATCAAATAACTGATTTGGAATCTTCCATCTACCTAATTGCATCCGTGAAGGTGCTTTCCCTGTGTCTTAGAGACAGAATATTGAGGATACAATCATCTATCGAAGAAAAGAAGACAGAGAAAGATAACTCCTCCCAGAGCTCACTGGCTATTTTTAGTAGCCCGGCTGTCCTGTGGTTGGGGCCACACCTCATTTTGGGGTGAGGGTACTTCTCACCATCTCCTCCATGGTTTCCAGCATCAGCTTCAGCTTGGTTGTCATTCATTTGAATTATTCTGCAATACTTCATGATGCATGTGTGTGACTAAAATTAAAACTTATTTAGGTGAAATTTTGACAGCTTGTCTCTATGACCTTGACAGCCACTTTTAGACTATCTCAAGAAGGAAAGGGCTTGACTGATAGTTTCCTCCTCCATTTTCTTTGTTCATCTGAGAAAACAACTTTTATAAGATCTGTTCACCTAGCTAGACTTCACCCAGTCTCTCAGCTCCCTTTTCTCCCAACCTTAGAAGGTTAGAGAAAAACCAAGCTGAGAGAATTTAATAGCCTCTCCAGATCTCAGAGATGCTTATACTGAAGGCAGCCAGATATCAAAGCCACAAGTGTTCCTGACTCTTCAAGTGCCCCATGTATATTTCACCAAAGCACTAGGTACATGGCACGTATACAAGGTGTGGGGCGTATGACCTCCATGAAAAACATTTGTCTGTGAATGATATTCTTAGCCATGCGCTCAGGGTTGACTTCCTTAAGCTGTGTATTACTATGCTAGAGTGCGAGGAAGAACTTATTTCTTACAGGACTGTTTATGTATTACATTTCACTGAAGAAAAGGATGCCTATCATAATTTAATAGCTATATGCATTTTCACAAACTGAATTCACACCTGTGTAACCAGCACCCAGATCAAGAAACAGAACATTTCTGTACCCTAGAAGCCCCCTCATACTCCCTTCGAGGCATCTCCCCACCCTAAATCCCCAAAGATAACAACTGTCTTGACTTTTAACAGCAGAGATTAGCTTTGCTTGGTTTCATACTTTATATAAGTAGAATTGCACAGTATGTACTCTTTTTTGTCTAGTTTCTGTCAATATTATGTTTGTGAGATTTATTCATACTGTTGTGTATAGTTACAGATCATAGGAATTTCTCTTGATCTTTGTATCAATTAAATTGTAGTTGATTAGACTATGGATCAATTAAATTATAGTTGATTAGAGACATTCCAATGATTACTATCCCACAGCATTAATAATTTCTTTTCTCCTTCCCTTGGGGGGGTTCCCATGTAGGCAGAAAACTCTTAAGTTAGGAGCCGGTTGGCAGATCATAAAAATAGATTCAGCCAAGCACTGTGGCTCATGCCTATAATCCCAACAACTCAGGAGGTCAGGGTGGGAAAAATGCTTGAGGCCAGAAGTTCAAAAACAACCTGGGCAACATAACAAGACCTTGTCTCTAAAAAAATTTAAACAGTTAGCTGGGCATAGTGGCCTGTGCCTGTAGCCACAGCTACTTGGGATGCTGAGGCGGGAGTATTGCATGAGCCCAGGTGTTTGAGGATGCAGTCAGCCGTTATCATGCCACTGCACTCCAGCCTGGGCAACAGAGTGAGACCCTGATAGTTTGAGGATGCAGTGAGCTGTAATCATGCCACTGCACCCCAGCCTGGGCAACAGAGAGAGACCCTGACTCTTAAAAAAAAAAAAATTGATTCATTCTATTTTGGCTGGGTAAAGAGCCTTTCTGCTTTCTAGTAACGGGCAAAGAAACATTCTTCATACCCCACCCCAGATTTTTAACCTCTTTTGTTTAGAGTGTTGTTGCACATGAAGAATTAGAATCCTACTGGTTAAGATAGTATCAGATAAGAGTCCTAAGGAATATCCTCAGCCATTCTATTGTTACATGAATCTTCCCCGGGATTTGCTTTGTGCTATCAGAGGAGACACCTTTTCCAAGTGACCGTTTCTCTTGGGCCTAGCTCTGCTATTAACTCTGAGACCTTGGACAGTGACTTCTTTTTGTGCCTCAGTTCCCTAAACTTTAAAAAAAGAGTGTGGTCTATATGATCTCCATGGTGCCTTCCAAATCCAGGATACCACCATTCTGTGACGATAAGGGGATTTTACACTGGGAGCTTCCTTCCAGTTGTTAGGTTACCTTTGTTAAATTGTGATAGGTAAATTGTAATCCCACAGATAAGGACAAACAAAAGTGGATATGGGTGTGGAGAGGGCTAGCTTAAGCAAATGAAGACCAAATTTCTTGAAAAATGAAGCATTACTTCAGGTGCTGATATCTACAATGTCAGCAACCAAGAAATACCAAATGGGGATCCAAATATATAAAATAGATATGTTTTACCGGTAAATTTGGTTCCAGTGGCAAAAGGAGCCATTTCTCTGGGGACTTAGGCTTAGAAAAGATACCTTAATTTCTGGTATGGCTGTACACACCTGTGCTTTATGTGAATTTGAGTCTATTTGTCACTAGCCAAAGTCAACATTTTTAAAAATCTTGTTTTAATGTATAAAACTTAAGGATTCACTGAAAACATTATAATAGAAGTCATTATATTTTGAACCTGTATGTGCCAGGTATTGTGTTAAGCACTTTATATGTATTATCTCCTTTAATCCTTACCATAATTTTATAAGGTAGTTACTATTGTTATCATCGATGTTTTGTGAAGGAAGAAACTATGGCTTAAAGAGATTAAGCAGGCCAGGCACAGTGGCTCAAGCCTGTAATCCCAGCCCTTTGGGAGGTCGAGGTGGGAGGATTGCTTGAAGCAAAGAGTTCAAGACCAGCCTGGGCAACATAGCAAGACTGTCTCTACCCACCTCCCCCCTCCCCCCAAAAAAATTAGCTAGGCATGATGGTACACACCTGTAAGCCTAGCTAGCTAGGAGGCTGAGGCAGGAAGGATCACTTGACCCCAGAGGTTTGAGGCTGCAGTGATCTATAATCATGCCACTGTACTCTAGCCTGAGTAACAGAGCGAGACCCTGTCTCTTTAAAAAAAAAAACAAACCAGAGGGCTGGGCGCGGTGGCTCCACGCCTGTTATCCTAGCGCTTTGGGAGGCCAAAGTGGGCAGTTCACCTGAGGTCAGGAGTTCAAGACCAGCTTGGCCAACATGGTGAAACCTCGTCTCTACAAAAATACAAAAATTAGCCGGGCAAGATGGCCAGTGCCTGTAATCCCAGCTACTCGAGAGGCTGAGGCAGGAGAATCACTTGAACCCGGGAAGCAGAGGTTGCAATGAGCAGAGATCATGCCATTACACTTCAGCCTAGGCAACAGAGCGAGACTTCGTCTCAAAAAAAAAAAAAAGAGAGAGAGAGATTAAGAAAAATGAAATGAAGCTAGTGTTTAACTCCAGTCACCTGGCTCTAGAATCCAACATTTTCATCTACATACTGTATTAGGATTCTCTAAGTATGTTGTGCAGAGAAGAGAAAATCCTAGATTTTCTCTTTTTCATTGAATTCAGATATCTCACTTATAGAATTAACCTAATTTTTTCTTTTGCACATAAACCTTCAAAGGGTATGGAGATGTTGAACATCAACATTGGATTGTTTTTCCTACCTGGGGTTGGGGCAGGCAGCTGGAAGTTGGGAATGAAATAGGGCAGCATGTTTACACTCCCCAGGGGCAAAATATCTCTGCCCCCTGTAAGAGGGAAACAAGGACTCATTAAATGTGAGAGCTGGCCCAAAATCTGACTCACAGCTAATTTAGCTAATTTAGGGATGTCAGGGTGGCTGCACAATTGGCCCCTCTATGGTATTGAACCCCCTTAAGGGATGCTCCTTGCTAGCCCTCTGGTTT